GTGTCTGTGTGTGTGTGTCTGTGTGTGTGTGTGTGTGTGTTTGTGTGTGTGTGTGTGTGTGTGTCTGTGTGTGTGTGTGTGTGCGTGTGTGTGTCTGTTTGTGTGTGTGTGTGCGTCTGTGTGTGTCTGTGTGCGTCTGTGAGTGTGTGTGTCTGTGTGTGTCTGTGTGTGTCACCGTGTGAGTGTGTAGTGCGGCAGGTTCACGTCAGAGAGCGTTCACACATACTACGCTGTGCCCTCTCTTTCTCCCATGGTAGAGACATGACAGAAATAGCTGGAATATGCGTTACCTCATTCCTTGTCACTTATTAATTTAATTATTCCCCTCCCCACCCTCTCCCCAACTCCCCCCTTTCTCTATTTTCACCAGTTCATTCATTAGTTTCTTTATTTTTAAATAATGACAGTCAGATTTTGATCAGAGATGACGCAGGCTGGCTTGAGCGCAGCCGTGCCACTGAACTACACCGGAGAGAGGGAGAGAGGGAGAGAGACTGGGGGTGGAATTCAAAATTATGATTAAGTTAAAAAAATGATGGTGGGAATTACATTATGAGAAGCATCCCTATAGAAGAAGTGTATTGTGCTTCTGAATTATGTCTTTATTAGCATGATTTAGCAAGGTGAGGGACAGAATACAGTTTTTATACATATATTATTTAATGAGAATATTATTGTTAATATTATTATTCTTAAAGAATCGTTCTTTAAGAACAAAGTTTAATAAATACATACTTTCATGTGAATAATTCTTCCTATTAGAAAGCAAATTATGTCCAGCTGAATTTATTTTTTAGGGGGAGAATTACATAGTGCTGACCACCATTGAACCTTCCAGAACACTAGGTGGCAGTAAATGGTTTTGCATGGTGCTGCTGAGAAAGCTAATGAGACTGTGTACAGGTGGTGTCCCTGGCAGTACTGCAGAAGAAGGGAAAATCTAATACGATTCACAGAACACGTCCTTAATAAGTGCTTACTTCGTGCCAGTCAAAGGCCATTGGAAATCAGCAAAAACTGATCGTTTGTCTTCACCTTTTTCATTCATCCATCTTCTAACTACTTGGTCATGGTCTTGATGGGCCTGGAGCTCTTAGCACAGGGCAAAAGCCTCTGCTATTCCAAACAAAGTGAAAACTCGTACTGATGTACACAAATGCTCTTAGTTTCATCCTAAGTAATGCTGAGCGGGAAATATGCGTACTGTTACATGGTTAATTTTATTATTGTCAGAAATTGATGTGTCCTGTTTTATTCTCTTAGTTTTGTTGGTTTTATAATACAACAAAATGATACTGGCAATCAGTTACACAAAGTCTGGAGGCACGTAGTCTGTTGAGTAACTCTAGACAGTCTCGGTTGTGATTGGTCCAGTCTTGGAGAGTGACAGACAAAACACAATTCAATCGCACAGGACGTGGGAAGGATCCTTTTAATCTGAGCAGCGTCAAAACTTGTCAGTGGAGTCATACAGGAACTTAACAATATGGAGGCATGACAAAAAAATGACACTGATTCACTTAATTGTCCGAACTCTCACATTTTAAAAATAATTGGATGACATGCAATGATATTTGGAATGATATAAATAAAGCAACCATATTTTTCCAATAATCTTCAATACATATGAATCTTCGATTATTAAGATAGCTCTGACACTATGTGAACATGTGACTTATTTTGTCAACACATAAAGACAGATAAAGATAAATATAAAATGTGTCTCTTGTTTGTTGGTTAATGCCGTCATTATTTATCACTGTGACTTAGACCTTAGACAAAGACCTGTGGCCTGAATCACAAAGCTGGACTCCTTGTTTGGCCAGATGACTTGTCGGATTTAAGGTAGTCTGGACAAAATGTAAATGAACAAAGATAAAGGCACTAGGTCATATTTTAATGACTATTTGTGAAAACATCCTGGTGATTCCAATGAATTCACAAACTTATTCCCACAACTTTAAAATTCTATAACAAATTCATTTATTTTCAATAACAACAGTTCTTCACATTTTTTTGAATGATGACAAAAACATTTTTTAAGTTCCCTCCTATAAAAAAGCGTATAACAAATGCCTTTGGTTATATATGTATACATACGCAGTGCTCTCATCCAATCATATGCGTATTAGTAATAGTAATGCCTCCTTCCTCCAAAGGATAAATTAATCAGTATATTTTGGCACCAGCCCATAAATACTTTCCTAAAAAGCGCGTTTGTGTGTCGGACACAAACGGAAAAGATCCCACGGTTTGGTGGTGACTCCCATCCGTCGCTTCGCTGGAAATGCAGGGTGAGTGAGTCAGACGTTCTCTATCCGGTGGGAGTGCTTCTCCTTCCTGGATCCGTCGGGGCAGCGATTCACTGTGCCGACGTCCTTCTCCGAGCGGCTGCCCGGCGGCAGTGGATGAACACGTACAGCGGGTGGATGAAAGCCAGCGTGGTGAGAACAGTCAAGGCCACGTTCAGCTGTGAGGTGGGAGACACAAGAGAAGGTGGTATACAGGAGTTAGGGCTCGCTGGACCTTCTCAGGAGCCCAGGGCAAAGTCGTACTTCAAAGACCCCCTGACCAAGCATACTGATGATACACGTACTTTCTCCACAACGCGGCTAATTCAGGGGCCTGGGGTGAACTGTCTATTCTACCAATAGCCAGAGTCGGCCCCGATCAGAGTCTCTGGCGGGGTGTGACGAAGCACGCGTCAACATGGATGCTGGCTATCCAAAAACGGGATCATGAATCAGGCACTCAGAGGAGATGTACAGATGTGGACAAAAGACCAGAAAAGAAATAGGAAAAAAAAACAGCTCAGAAATGTTCTGTATAATTTTGAAGTAGCTATATTATTAATAAAAACTGAAAGGATGTCTAGTAATACAGCTGGATTTTTTTGCTGAATTCAGGTTAAGTGCAACGAGGGTGCAGGATCAAGGCCTCTTCGGCCACTCTCAGTGACATCATCACCAGACTCTCTGTCACTATGGCTGTCCAATACCACCAAGCCATGTGGTCTGTGTCCTAAAGATCCTATAGATCTTACCTTATGTACAGAACTGTATCAAACATCTGTGGCAGTCAAAGAAAATAATATTTAAATGATCTACATGTCGGTGCAAAACTATGATACTGTGTCTGTCGATGGATGTCATCTTAGCCATTTCAGAACTTCTCCTAAAGTCAGCCCAGGATTTGCAGTAACCATGCAATACAATCATGTATATTTTGGTGGTGGAATTTTATCTAATACCTGTAAAGGCTGAGGTGCCCCTGAGCAGAGGTTTGGGAACCGAAGCCGTGTTATTCTGGGCATCTAGCAAGGTATCAGTCAGTAGGTTTACATGCACACTAAGGAAATCGAATTATCGTGTTAGTCGTACGTTTAAAGTACAGGTAAAAAGATGTTAGTCCGACTGAAAATGAACTACATCAAATTTCTCAGAGTCAGTCTAAGACACCCAGATAATGTGACTCCTGCATGTAAACATTCAATCGGACTCAAACTGGCCTCTGCACATAATCCACAGTCCCCCCTGACCTGGAAGTAGCAGAAGAAGCCAGTACACGGTATACAGAAGAAGCTTGGAGCATAGCAGAGGATGTACAGCATGTACCAAATGTACAGCACGTACCAAATGTACAGCACGTACCAAATGTACAGCATGTACCAAATGTACAACATGTACCAAATGTACAACATGTACCAAATGTACAGCGCTGTAAAGCTGTATAATTCACCACTCAACTTGTCCCTTAAGGGTATATTCCCAGCGCACCAGGTACCGTACTTTTCGTACTCTGTCATAGGAAAAAAAACCTAGCAAGTTTTACAATTTTAATGATTATTCCTTTTCAAGATTATCTAGCATATATTTAAGAATTAGTTTAAAGTTTACCTCCGCTGCTTTTGCATGAGCACTGCATGCGTTCTCAGACAATCATAATCATTTACATCCTTGCTGTTTAAATCAATCCTAGACAGGTTTGTGAGAAATTTATGAACTACTTTTTTTGTTTAATAAATACCCCAATATTTATTAGAAAATCACATGACCAATATCATGTTGTCATAGTGTATTACATTTACATCTTGTTTTGCATCCTGACCTTGTTGTATCTGTTCTTCTGACCAGATCGCAGTTAACGCTTGTGTCACTTCATTTGTCCACGCATCCATTATTATTAATGTTATTATTTTTTACGTCTGTGACATAATAGGTCAACCTAACGAGCTGAAAGGAGCCATATTGCCACCTATTGTAGCGAGTCGGACATACTTCGGTCAATAAATCGATTCCCCTCCCGTACACGTATACTGGGACAAGGACAGCAGTCCGATTAAACGGCGTAATCGAGCTACAACCGTAGCTATGCGTGTAAACGTGCCGAGTGACTTTCTGGGCAAGAGAAGAAATTATTGTTCGTTTTTACCGTGTTACTGTTAATCGTTATAATGTTAAATTGTTCTTTTTCCAAGCAAATATACACTTGCACAAATATACACGTGCTAACTTTAATCATTCTCTTTGATGGCCTAAGTGTTTTGCATAGTACTGTATTGTATAACAATAAATATTATTTGTTAAGTCTAGAATCTCTAGACTTCCTGCTGGTAAGTAAGATTCAGTTAAAACCCCAGTTGGTCTGAACACAATGAGAGGCCTTAGTGTGTGAGCGTGTGCATCTGTGTGTACATGTCCGTGCATGCGGCACAGATCCCTGCAGCATGTGTGCAACATGCGACACTGCAGCGGACATGGTGACCCTGTAATCCTACAGTGTATCCATGGAGACACTGTACTCACATATAGGGGGTCTCCTTTCAGGGGGCCTTGGACCAGGGCGAAGAATGGATACTGCAGCAGTGACACCAGTGCAGACAGTGCCAAGATCAGGCCATACAGCTTCCCGAAGTGGGAGGAAGGAAACCTGCAGGTATGGAGAAGGGAACACTGGGAAAATGCCCAGTGAAAGCAGACTCAGTACACCCCGCCCGACCCCTTCGTCCTCCAATCTGCTTGCTAGGCTCTCCTGCTTTGAAGGAGGTCCGTGGGAGAGGAGGTGGGTGTTAGCCATAACAGCCCTCCTGCTTAGGAGCCCGTGAAGGTCGGGCTGGGGCTTCTCTCCGTCATTCATAGAATGTTTTCTTCGCCTCTGTTACATTCTGACAGCATGAGTTTACAGCACACTGGTGTTCATGCGAGAGAAGTGTGACAGAGTTTGTCAGAATGCCTATATTCTTTTTTTCCCCTTAAAAGGCACAAGTGCCAGGTTGGGTCCAGGCAGGAAGTGGGCTGTGATTGGCTGAATATGGTCCTCTGCCCGCTGAACACCAATCAGTGACCAAAGAGGTCCACCACCACCCCCCCCCCCAATGCCGATCCCACTCACGCGATGCTGATAAAGGCGGCGTTGCCGCCGTACAGGAAGGAGCGGTTGATGACTTGGAGGACGAAGGTGAGGTACTGGAGGGGAAGGACGGGCAGGGCGGCACACAGGGAGAAGAGCAGGCACTGCATGGCGGTGATGAACAGGGAGAGTGCGGCAGATCGCACGTCGGCCTCCTGCTCCGTTTCTCCTGGGAGGTGTAGAGGCCAAGTTGAGATTCTGACTCCAGGGGGCGCCAGAGCACAGGGTGCAGGCTGACTAGGGACCAGTGGGGCCTCACCACCCTACCTGGAGCGCAGGGCTTCCCCTTGTGCCTGTCCATGATGAGGCCGTTCCAGGGAGCACAGAGAATCCCGCACAGCTGGGTGAATGCGAAGGCGTTGGTATACTCGCTCACTGCGGGCCGGGGTGGGAGAACAGAGGCGTTAACAGGCTCCGGCTACTAAGGAACGTGGCCGATCGGTCGGCGGCGTGTGCGCGTGCGGATAGTTACCCAGGGTGGGATCCCCTCCAGTGAGCCGATTCAACATGGGGTTCAGTGTCCCGATGAAGAGATAGTGTCGCAACTGCATGATGGACAGCCAGCCCAGGTGCAGCATGAAGAACCAGGACAGGATGCAGCTCCTGACATTGGCCACTGGAGAACCAAGACACATCAGATCTGAAGCAACTGGCTCCTGATTTCCAAAATCCAACCCATTACCTAACACATGAAAAACTGACTTCTTTAAAAACAATAATCTGTAATAAATAGTGAATGCTTAACTGTCAGACTGGATACATTTACACTAAATAGACTATTAGCGTTTTTCCACTGGCATAAAGGAACTGACTCGTATCCAAGTCATACTGTGAAAAGCGAGTAGTTACAGTGTGATTCTGACTTGCTTTGGTTTTCCACTGCAGCAGTCGGCTCGGTAAAGGCATAGCTGAGTTTGGAGAGTGACAGTGATGTAAAACCAAAGAGGTGCTTATTTACTGTTGAAGCGGTGTACATCATGATTTACTGTGTCTTCATTTTTCTAATTTCCTATGCCGTGCTGGGTTTGCATCACACACTTAAGTAATTAGCATTCACTCACCTAAATATGCGTTAAATATCCATTCCCTTTAGGTATAGTACTTTCTTAAGTAGTAGGTTGGAAATTTTCAAGTTCCAGGTTATCAAGAATGCACTGGTACCTCACAATGTGCAATACTACTAATAATGAATAATATATAGAATATTCCCCGTTTCCTTCAGATAATCCATGTGGAGGTCATTTTGACCAATCAGATGGCAGTGACACAATGTGCTCAGTTTGGTCACCAATTGGTTTTGGCTTGGGTGTGGCTCGCATACTTGACAATGGAAAACTGGCAGTTCACGGTAAGGCTCGGGTACAGCTCGGTTCTTGTTGGCAGTGGAAAAGGGTCATATGAGTGACTAGATCCCCCAAAAGCCTGTTTTTCGAAGAGATGGCATCAATGTCATACGGGGTCAGCTCACCTTTCTCCTTATTGGGAGTTGTGGTTGGTTCTGTCGTTTGAGTGGGCAGGTTGTCTGTGTTCTCATCATCCGACATGGCTCCCTTGTAATCAGGCTTCCCTGCTACTGACACACTATAAGCCCTGGACCGGCCACAGCCAAGCCTGTGCAGCACAGAGCAGACAGCGGTTTATGGAAGGAGGAACGCTTACATGGCCCAGAGATGAGCATGGCCAAAATGCACGCTCTTACCCATAGGTGTAACCTTCCGGGAGGGGGTGGGGAATGTGACCCCTTGGCATGAGGAACAGCGTGCGGAGAAGATGAATGACACTACAGCTTGCGAGGAAGAGCATGGAGGCTTGCAGAGTGATCCCTCGTTCGTACACCACCTGAGGTGAGCAAAGAGGTCATCGGCACCGACAGTTTGGCGTGAGAGCTTCACCTGCAATTGCAGGACGGAGCAAGTGTCACATGACACGCAGCGTGCACTATTGCGACCAATAGCAGCCGGTCTTTGTCGGCATGTGACTTTCTGTTCGGATGCAGGAGAGCTACCTTAACGATGAGCAATATGCCGGAGGAGGAATCGAAGGCACCGTTGTAAAAAGTTATGACGGTGGATCGGTGCGTGCCGAAGAGGTTCCCCACCTAGACGGGAGGGTCGTGAGAAGATTTAGTGAATCAAAACCGCAAAGAATATACAATGTCAGCCACTTTGGGATAACCGTTTCAGGTGATAAGAAACAGCGTATCCTGTTGATGGAAGACTTATGGACTGTTTACTTTTACATCACACCTGAGGGTCCTTGATCAAGCTGTTAACATTTACATTTACAGCATTTGGCAGACGCCTTTAGCCAGAGCGACTTACATAAGTGCTTTAAGACTCTACAATGAATTTTTCCCGATACTAGCTCAATAAAACCAAGGCTATGAATACCATCGATCTAATACTCTGTTGGGAAAGTGCGTTTTTTTTTTTTTTTTTAAAAAGGAAAAAACTGAGTATAATGCCAGAAGTGCTAATTCAGGTATTTCTGGAAAAGGTGAGTTTTAAGTCGTCTTTTGAAGACATTCAGTGACTCAGCTGTTCGGACGTCTAGGGGGAGTTCATTCCACCAACTTGGTGCCAGAACACCTGTTAAGGTTTTCATACTTCACAGCCTTACCTTTAATGGCTTCAGATGCAGGGTGAGAAATGTTTTCGCATGCCATTTTTTTTCATGAATCAATGTAAATAAAATTTAGAAAAAACAAACAATCTGCTATAACTTGTGGCCCTGGTCAGGATTAGAGGTTGGAAGATGGATGGAAATTTGATATTCAGGCAATTTCTGTAATAGATGTTTCCATAAACACATGGGACTGCAAGGGGCCTGGCAGGGGGACCTCAACTCCTTCTTCTCTAGGTTTGAGACTGACAACACCTTCCGTCTCAAAGACATGGACACCTTCTCTGACCTCTCCATCACCTCCACTGGCTCCCCCCAAGGCTGCATCCTGTCACCTCTTCTATTCATCCTGTACACCAATGACTGCAGGTCCTCCCACCCAGACTGTCATCTAGTGAAGTACGCGGATGACACAGTCCTCCTGTCTCTGCTCTCCGGCTCCTCACATCACCACAGCTCAGTGCTCAGTGAGTTTGTGCAGTGATGTGACAGTGCCTCCCTGGAGCTAAACGTGGAGAAGACCAAGGACATGGCGGTGACCTTCTCTAATAAACAGAGGGAGCTGGCGACAGGATCTGTCAGCATAATCCACAGGCAGACAGAGGAGGTGATGGAGGAGTACGAATATCTGGGCACTATATTCGACTTCACCCTACAGTTTGCCTCCAACACCGAGGACATTCTAAGGAGATGTCAGCAGTGGCAATATCTCCTAAGGAAGCTCAACAACTCTGGGATCAACTAGGTCATGCTCAGAACCTTCTACTACTCCTTCATTGAGGGTGTCCTCTGTTTCTCCATCACCTGCTGGTATCACTCCACCAGCCTGCAGCACAGGACCCGCCTGCCAACACAGTGAAAGTCTGCTCTAAGATCATCGGACTCCCGGTCAGAGCACTTTCATCCCTGTGGGAGCAGCAAACTCTAAGAGCAGCGTGCAGGATTCTGCGGGATCCCTCCCATGGTCTGTACCCGGAGTTTGAGTGGCTCTCCTCAGGACGACGGCTCCGCTGTCCCGGCTGCAGGACACAGAGGAGGAGAGCGACCTTTGTTCCCAGGGCCGTTCAACTCCTCAACTCACAGACTTCCCTTCCCCCCCGCCTCCCTAAACTGGAACCCGTCATTCATTCTGCACTTGACCACCCCCCCCCCCCATGCCCACTAACAATCCCTCCCTTTTACCTATTTATTCAGTTCCCATCTACCTGACTGACTGCAATTTTGCACATAAACTTCTAAACACTGTAATGACTGTTGTACTTTACGTCACTGTGTCCAACTGCCCTGTGTGTCTTAATTGCCCCTCAGGGACAAATAAAGTTTTTTTAATTGAACTGAAGTCTATGACAGCAGAGACAAGATAGAAATTGAAAGGCCCGCCCGCACGCACGCACACACACACACACACACACACACACTCATATTTTTGTCCATTCCATTCATTTCTATGGGAAAAACCATAATCCCAACATGGCAACCCTAACCCCTACCCAGCCCTAACCTTAAACATAAGTAACCAAACAAAATGAGACTTCCAGGCATTTTTAGTTTTTTGATTGCATTCACAGATCTTTGTGGGGATACCCAAAAAATGGTACCCACAACGTCGAAAAAACAGGTTTCTATTCAATTGTGGGGGACATTTGGTCCCCACAAGGTAATATAAACCTAATATATATATATATATATAGTGACCATACAGGAAATGAAATCACAACTCTGTAGGTGCGAAATCACAGTCACTTCAAATTAATGTCCTACTACTATAGAACCACATATATAAACAGATATAGGTTGTAATGAGTAATTGTTTTCTTGTTCTCTAAAATAATAATTATTAAATAAATAATCGTTAAACCCACTTCATGTTGTAATACATTCACCTATTCCTTCTATGCAGGTTAAATGTTAAGACAGTAAGGCTACGTTCACACTGCAGGACAAATGTGGCCTAAATCCGATTTTTTGCTCATATGTGACTCAGATCACATTTTTTCATGACAGTGTGAACAGCACAAGTCACATGGAATCCGATTTTTTCAGTTCCTATTTGGGCCACTTCAGTATGTGGTTATAAATCGGATACAGGTCTGATTTTTTTGCAATGCGACCTCAGTCTGAATAGCAAAATCGGAATTCATGCCACTTTTACGTCACTCTCGATCAACATTCATCACAATTCTGCGCAGGCGGAAGTCACCATATGTCTCCGTCAGAGTGCCAAACATGGAGGAGAGCACAGAAGCTGGCCAGTGGAGGGACAGTGAGGTGCTGGATTTAATAAGTATTTGGGGAGATAAATCTGTTCAGGCAAAACTAGAAGGTTCATATCATAACTGGGCAGTTTTCGAATCAATAAAGTGGGGTCTGTTTTTGCGCATGCACGTCATTGGGTCTTGGTTGTTTTGTGCGCACGTGGGCCAGTTCAGTATAGTGAACCGTTCACAATGAAATCTGATATTGCCACATTAAAAAGAGTAATGTGAACAAGCAAACAAAAAATCCGATCTGAGCAGGAAATCAGAATTGAGCATTAAGCCCTGCAGTGTGAACGTTGCCTAAGTCAGTTCACATTAACTGAGCCTCTGATAAATTCTTTGTGTGACCAATTTGGTGCAGCTGAGTGTTGGGGCAGGAAAAGTGTGGGGGTGGGGAGGTGCCGTTGGGGTGTGGGGGTGAGATTCTGTCCTGCTCTGTACCATATATGGGCTTTCTTCAGGGCAACCCATTTGAGCTTCACAGAGTGTAAGTACAGTAAAGGGGATGTAGTGGGTAAAACAGCATTCATCCCGCAGTGGACAGCAGTAAACTGCACACAGAATCAAACACACGCACAAATCAGACTCACCCAATTTGTCTTACCTGTGGGAGGAAACCGGAGGAGTTCACTGATATAATTTAAAACCAGTCACTGACGTTAGATTAGGGGTGAAGCTGTCAGCTTTCGCACAATAAGCCGTAAATGTCTCAGTGCATGTGATACACTTTACACTTTTCCAGATATGGCGCAAACCACCCACCTTCAAGAACCACTGATCAGTGCCGGGTCACAGCCAGCTTAAGATTAGATTAGAAGACTTAATCGTCACTGAATTGCTGAGTACAACAAGCAACGTTACTGACTCAATAAGTCCAAGACAGGCAAACAGCAACAGTAAGGTATACTAGTCACACGTTAGACGTTTTCAGGCTTCTGCACTTGTGTGCGCCGCCATCTTGGTGCAAAGAAGGAGCCAATTCTAGGAAGCAGTCTCGGTTGGATGACTGTCCACTGCAGGTTAGACACAAACACACAAGTACACTCACATGCAATTTAAAGACACCAACCTGCATCTTCGGAAACCAAAGCACCTGGAAAAGACCCACGCAGACATGGGGAGAGCATGCAAACGCCCCCCCCCCCCCCCACCACACACAGCCAAAGGGCTTGGGGTGGTAATCAAGTGTCAGGACTGAAGATTTTTATTTAGCACATGCAGGAACGTACTGGTACACCAGCTGTGCAACCCCCAGCTCAGGAGGGGACGCTATAATGGGCTACCCGAGCCTGACTGTCCCTGATCCCACACCCTGCTCAAACTGCGCGGAAAGATCCGGACCCAAGCTCGCTTTTGCCGTCACCCTGTGACTTTTTTGTGTCAAAGTAAAGACAGGAAGGAAAGCGCTGTCGCGCAGCACAATGGAGTGATGATTGAGGTTCTTATTTTGCGGCTTATTTTGAGTCGTTTTTGGGCACGAGGATGCACAGCCATCTAATACGTTTTTGGAATGTGCGACACGGCGATTTTCAATTTACCGCGCTGCACGTATAAAGGTCGTCCCATATTTTAACACAAACCTCAGAGGTTTTCGTGTTGCATTCAGTTGTTGCTAGAAACTCGTCGGCCCAAATTTACAGCAAACGTTGCTGTAAACCTCTGGCGCACACCAAAGTAAGCCGTTTTCCATCATGTACTACCTCATCTGTACAACCTACCCAATTCGTTCCTTCCGGATCCAGTTCAGTATAGTGTAAATGTGCGCATGCATGGACCAGTTGCATCAATGACGTCATATCTGTGTCTGGTGCTCGGACACGGTATTTATCACACTAGATGTGTACCATCCAACTGAACCGTGCCTTGGTCCACCTCTTCAAGTAGGCCCAGGCACAGTTGAGCACACTGTGCTCAGGAATGGTACGGAATAATCTCACTAATCAAACGGACTACACTGGGGGTCAAAGGTGCTTGGGCATGCAGTGATTAGTGTGAGTACACCATTAGTAGAGGTGCGTGGCAAGACCCTCTCCTGGTGAACAGGGGGCACAAGGCAGGAATACACGCTGGATGGGATGCCAGTCCATCACAGGACATATGTGTTACTCCAAGATTAATACAATATAGAATATAAAAGTTGCCGATTTACTAGCCAAGTTGTTGCAGACTATTTCCACAGTGCGTACCCCTTTACTCAGCACTGTGATTTCTCTGTGTTTTTCCCAGCTTAGCCTGCCGCAGGTCCTGAGCCTGTGTACCCACATGACGGCAGAGGTGGAAGACACAGTGAAGCAGGTCACCCAGACATCACAGGACCGCCGTGAGACCCCTATCGGAAAGATCTCAGGGGACATCATATAGCACAGTGCAAATACGCTTCAGTGTTTTCGCCGGATGCACACATTATCCCGGAATCTGGTGGCTGCATGTGTGTTTAAATGTGCCTTATGTCTTTTCAAGCAAAAAATACTTCATGCAAGACAAAAGACTAGAAGTGTTGTTATATATTCTGGGTTAGCTAAAGGCTAACTAAAAATGGGCAGCTTAACTAAAAACGGGTTCATTGAAAATATGATAGAAAACATTAAGTATATTAGCACTTTTAAATTACCACATATTAAACCACTATGATAAAATCTGAAACGGATTAAGTATTTAATATGCCATTCTTATTTTGCCACAGTTACTTGTGAATTACCACTTTTTTGAGTTTTGACAGCAGACTCTGCTGTATATTAATATATTAGTGCTGAATATAAAAAAAGATTAAATTTCACTGCCAAGTGTTCGGCTTGTTCATAAAAGCAGCCATTGGATCTGTAACTACGAAACATCAAGTAGTAACTGCGTCGGGAACAGATCTTAGGGTTTGTTGACATAATGTTGTTGCCTCACAACATGTTTTTCAGCACTGCTTCAATAAAAGGAGGAGATTTGTGAAAACCATTTGTGTGCAATCATCTTTCATCTAACACCCATTATGGAGTAATCTCACACTCAGTGGGGACTCCGTATCCTGGCCCCCACCCCACTAAAAAAGCAAACAGGCCCCCGAGCTGAAAGAGATCTGCCGTGGTGGGCAGAGCAGGAGGACACCCCCGCCAGACTGTGTACGTTCGTTTGTGTTTGTTTTTAGGCGTGATTCTGCAATCAGATTTCAGCGAGCGAGGAACCATGTGAGGAAAAAAAAACAAAAAAAACAAACAAAAACGAGAGATCGGTTTTAATATAACGATGCACTGGCTGTCGGTTGCAAATGCGACGCAGTCTGCTGTCGGCCTTGAAGACAAGACGCGGAAGCGGAAAACAGCAGGAGTCAAAGCGACTCCCAACAATGGGAAATAAAGGCTGATGGGGAAGTAGGACAAGACTGGGGCCTAGGGCCCAGCGTCAATTTTTTTTTTTATACAAGAGGCGTACCTGCATATTTGTCATGAGAAAGAGGATGCCGCCCACTGCAATGCAGGACATCGCCGGGAAGAGCAGATTGGGTATCACTGAGGAAAGACGGAAGATGGGAGATGAAAAACAAACAAGAAATGAAAACAAAGCGACTGCAGCTCTGCGTTGAGAGGCTGGCAGGAGGCTTCACAGGACCGAGGCTGCAGATCAGGAAACCGCATAATTGTGTCTACGTGCCCAAAAGCATAAAACGGACAATACCTGCACTGGAGAAGGCGACCATCAAGACACCAGTGGTGTACAATATTCTGGAAAAGAGGGAGCACATAAAAAGCAGCGTGTTAGGACTGTGTTGGGTGTACTACAAAGACGACTGAACGTGGAGCTTCACAACGGCTACTGGTCAGTTAGGACGTCTGTAAGGCTGGAGGCCCCGTTGGTCTGAGCTCTGGCAAGCCTGTAATGCTCCACCCAGTGTCCTGAAGCAAAGGTCCACCGGCTCCGACAAGACTGGACCCAAATCACCTGATCACCACATCAAAAGGGACACCTCACCCCCACTGGGCGGCCAGAACCCCGCAGCCAAATTCCAGCGACAAGGCCTGGCTGCGTCAAGACACAGATGCATCCTACACTCGCTAACTCACACTAACACAGGAGGTATTACCTCAGACTAACATTAGGGACACATACACCCATGTTTGGTCTCGTTTGAATGGTCACAGTACGACGGGCACAATACTCTCAACCTTAAAGCGGCATGTTTTCACATAAGAGAAATATAGAAAATAAGACTAAACCCACCAAAGTGGAGGATCTTATCACCTGGTAGAACAAAGGAATTGTCACATTCCTCCTAAAGCAATCTGATTGGCTGAGGACCTGAGAATTGATAAGATCAACAGTTCTCCAGGACACACACACTAGATCAGAGCAGGTCCTAAATAATCAATCACAACCTTTGATACAGTCTGTCACTTGGTTTGGAATACTTAAGGAAGAGCTCCAGAGTAGCACGGGGAGACACTCTGTAATCAGAGCTCCCACATAGTGCTTCATCTGTAATCAGATATTTTCTGCAGTTACTATGTGTCCACTCAGCTGAGGTATGGAATTGTTGTATACTTTTAATTGGATTATATAGTTTACAAATTGTGGCCACATGTTAGAATTACTATTATGTTATATTTGATTAAATTGATGTGATATATATTAATTGTGAATAAACTGTGTTTTGATTACTTCTTGGCTGTCTGACTTTGCTAAACCTCTGCATGTTCCTCAGAGACTGGGGTTATTCTGAAGTGCGTACACGCTGGGTTACGGTAAAAGACCGGCTCAGCCTCTGAGGCGTACACACGCTGGGTTACGGTAACGTCCGGCTCAGCCTCTGAGGCGCACACACGCTGAGTTACGGCACAAAGTCCGGCCCAGCCTCTGAGGCGTGCACACGCTGAGTTACGGCAGACATCGGCTTAACCTCTGTGGCCCTCACTAGCTCAGATTCGGCAAGTGTCAGCTGAGCCTCTGGGGCGTTAAGGGCCGCCGGGTCATGACGGGTATCTAGGCTGGCACTGTATTACATTGTAGTGGTTGTCCAACTTCTAAACCTACATAGCAGATCCACGGATCGCCTTATCGGCCGAGCCGAATCCGATGCGCCCCACCGTCCGGGATTAGTGGGAGTTCAGCAATAGAAGGCACAGCCCAGAAGTAATCTAAATAACAGAAATGTCATGACTAAAATTGCCATAAAGATCTTTAATTAAATTGGAGTCAGATATAATTCGGTCTTTACCTAAAACGGGTAAGTAACTTTACAGAAGCGCTCAGAAGGATCCACACGCATTTCAAGCCTTCGGCTGTCCAATTGGATTCCGCCATTGGGCCAGTGGGCGGTTCCCCTACACGTCCATTACGTTTCTTCAATTCAATTTTAGTGAGGGCCGGCTCTAGCTGTTGGCAGGACAGGCAGCCCCCCAGGACCCCTGAATTAGATATGTTGTGAAGGAAGTGAACCAATAATCGGGTTTCTTGCTAGAGGGACATTCCATGTCAGGCTTTACCCTGGACCGTTCAGAAGGTCCAGCAGGCCCTAACTCCTGTGAACCACCTTCCCACCGTGCGCAGTGGTGGCTTGATGGTTAGGGAAGTGCACTTGCAATTGAAAGATTGCAGGTTCGAATCCCCGACCAGCAAGGCACCACTGAGGTACCCTGAGCAAGGTACCGCCCCCAAGCACTGCTCCCCGGGCGCTGAGTTAGCTGCCCCCTGCTATGTCACGTACAGGTTACATGCAGAGGACACAGCTTGTTGTTGTGCACTGTGTGCTGCGGTGTGTCAACAATGACCACTGATCACCAAATTCTATTTTTTTAAAAATCACCCCCTTATTTATATTGTCCTTTTAACAAGGAACAAAGTACGTCACCAAGCCAGCATGGGGCAATCGAGACCAGGAAACAACACCCCTTCAGAGCAAAGAAC